AATTGTCGGAATGTTTTCCATTATTGTCATCAAATTCATTAATTCTCATGAGTTATCTTGTTGAGACGAGATTCGATCCTTTTGACAGATTAATCTTTCCTCACAAAAATCCCCCACTGATCAAGTCAATTGACGGTGGGTCCACTAAATTTTCTGTCCGCCAATTCATGGCAATTTCCAAAGCTTGACGTGTTAAGTCCTGATTACTTAACGTCAAAACCCTTCATCGAGTGCTCCCTTTGGTTTCAGGTCAAACCTTCCTACAGTTAGGACCAAAACCAAAATCCCCTCTCGATTCCTCCAATGAACGAGAGGTCCACTTTCAAATCGAGTGATCAAACCTTCCTATAGTTAGGATCACCTCAAACTCCCGCTTGGTCAAACCATCCTATAGTTAGGGCCAAAACCACAATTCACTCTCGATAAATGAGGAATTCACCTTTAATTCAGTAATCCAACCTTTCGACAGTTAGGATTATCCGAATCTGTCCGATTCTCGGAGTGGAGATCTCACTTCTAGTTTCTTTTGCGCTGGAAATAGAATATAAAATTCTTCCTTTCCAGAATCAAGGAATAGAATATAAAATTCTTTCTTCCTTGTATTCGGGTTCACCTTCACCCTAATAGAAGACCGGGATATAGAATATAAAATTCTTCCTTTCCCACGCTAACTTTTTCCAAGAATTTATCAATCTAGGACTCATCTTAGGAAGTTTATCTCGAATCCTAAGCAGGGATAAGTCTGCGCCTAACACGCGCTACCGGTTTAGTCTTTCTCCGTAGAAAAAGACACCAGAGTTCGATTCTGGGGTATCCTATCCTAACACCTAAGTAGGGATAAGTCTGCGCCTAACCCACGCTGTCGGTTAGTTCTTAACCGTTAAAAAGAACACCCGTCCACATATTCGACATTGTGGCAGGTTGTTATTAATAACACCAAAATCCATGCCTTACACGAATGGGGAATTTGATCCTGAATCCAAAGAAAGGATATGCCGACGCCTAACACGCGTCGCCGGTTTAGTCTTTCTCCGTAGAAAAAGACACCAGAGTTCGATTCTGGGGTATTCTATCCCGAAGCCTAAGTAGGGATAAGTCAGCGTCTAATACACGTTGCTGGGTAGCCTATTCCCGTAACAATGGCGAAGTCTACGTATTCGAAGTCGTAGCGACGAGTCTAAGAGAATTCACTCTCTTAGCACAACGTTACATGCGGAACAGATCTAGACAATCCGCATGCTAACCCCACTCAAATGGTAGTCGGTAAAGGCTAATCAAATCCGTTGAAGGCTGGGGGTTAGCCAAAAATCCTAAAGTCAACACCTAACACGTGTCGCCGGGTAGCCTATTCCCGTAACAATGGCGAAGTCTACGTATTCGAAGTCGTAGCGACGAGTCTAAGAGAATTCACTCTCTTAGCACAACGTTACTTGCGGAAAGGATTTAGACAATCTGCATGCTAGCCCGGCTCAAACGGTAGTCGGTAAAGGCTCATCAAACCCGTTGATGGCTGAGAGACAATCTGCATGCTAGCCCGGCTCAAACGGTAGTCGGTAAAGGCTCATCAAACCCGTTGATGGCTGAGAATTTGCCAAAAATTCTATAAAGGCTCATCAAACCCGTTGATGGCTGAGAATTTGCCAAAAATTCTATAAATGCAAGTCATCGACGCATCAACTTCATTAGTTGGTCTCGTGACTTGAGCATCCAACGACTTTGGGATAAGATCCATATCTGCGTATGAAACAACTTTAATAGTTGGTCTTGCAGCCCAATATTTGGGGCCACCGTGCTCCAATACCTTAAGAGCCTAAACTGTGTATACTCCAGCAAACGTACGAGTATAAACTGTGTCAACGAAAAGCGATCCGAAACCCTAGGTCGATGCCGGTCAACGCGTAACCCTAGGTCAACGCTAATCAAATGCGTTGCGATCAAACAGTCAACGTACGACTTTCGAAACCCTAGGGTCGACACCGGTCAACGCGTAACCCTAGGTCAACGCTATTCAACGCGTTGCGACCAAAAGTCAATGAACAGTGATCTGAAACCCAGAGTCAGCACGATGTGACGGAGATAGTTAGTTCTAAGTCAACTCAATGACCCCAGACCAGACCAAACTGAACCGGATCAGACCAAATTGAACCAGTCCTGAACCAGGCTGAACCAGTTCTGAACCAGTTTGAACCAGATTTGCATCAAAATTCAAATTGGAGCTGAACCGAGTGTCGAAACGACTTCAAATTTACCGATGGCCGGTTGAGTTCATTCGGAAATGAAAAACTACTCCAATAAGGTATACGAGTATAAACTATTCCCTATTTTTGGTTGAGAAGTTTCTGGAGAATATTTTTCTAAAAATATTCTTAAGGATAACTCAACAACACTACGCCGGACAACGCATCGCAAATAAAGACTCAACACCAACAATCGATGCTCAGTTCTATGTTGAACCAACAAACACGAGCTAAAGATCAGAAAATCAGGAATCGACTTCAAGTTCGAAACTCCGACAACGGTCAGACAATAAATGCAGCACCGGAACCCTTGTAAGTATTCGACAAAGCACCGAATAGCCTGAAGGATTGAAGGAATCAAGAACAGAAGCCATTCTAAGGTCCCGTTACACCGACTGAAGGTTGGGACAATCATATCCAAACTATTCCAGACTCTTCTATAAAAGAACGAGGCTGAAATACTTTGGAGGGGGTATCTGTAGGCGTATAAAACTGTCTATGGGTCCCTTAGCACAGCTCGGCACGGTGGTTCGACAAACCAACGAACCATCGGGTGACGTATCTAAACACGAGCGTTAGTCCACCACATCGAAGCCAAGTGACACGCGACGAAGCGGATTAACGAGGCGATGAGGTTAACGAATCGCACGCAAACAACGGAATACATCCACTTGCGTGCGGAATCAAGCTAACGGTTCGGTGAGTCAACGAGTCATCCAACCGTAGGACGGATTCGTACTCGAACTCCAAGGCGGATTTACTACCAAATCAGGATCCGGACTGCCAAATCAGAGTTCAGATCAACGACAAAGCTCGGATAAACCGCGAAACCAGAAAACGGGCGCAAAACCAAACACCTGGAGGACTCGGTCGAAACCGAGCCACCTCTAGGTGGCTCGGTGGCCGAGCCACCTGGGCTAAGCCCAGATCTGGGCCCAGATCTGAGCCCAGATCTGGTTCTGAATGCCTATAAATAGACCCCTATGGCTCATTTGTGAGTGGTTGGAACTTTTGGAGCCGAAACACTGCTGGATTGAGAAGTCACCTTCAGATTTCCAAAGCTTTAAAGACTTGGACATTTTCAGATCTGATTCTTGGCGAGCATCCACGTCAAACAAGGCAGGAGTTCGAGAGATAGAGATCAGATCTGAGATCCACACGGTAATACTCCAGATCAAAACTTGGTTTTTGATCCCGAGAAGGCTATTATTTCCTTGGTGAAATAGTACCCCCGGCTATTATTTCCTTCGTGAAATAGTACCCGTTATACCGTGTAGATCCGACCGGATCAAGATCGCGCGGTGGTCCACGGATTAACCCCGGCGTAGGCGAAGAACCCACAAAAGCGAGAGACCGCAAAACAGGATCTCGCGATTCGTTCGACATAAAAGGAAAGTTGTAATTTTTATTTCTTTTTGATTTTGTTGTAACCGGATCTTATAAAAAGACCGGATCTTTTGTAATCGAAAAACTATTACTTGAGAAAGCAATGACATCAATGAGTGCAATTTTTCCCGCGAACAGTATACAACTCTTGTAGGCCCAAATAAGATGACTTTTATAGGAGAGGCGCCATACGAGGGAAAAGAATTTGCTACATTGTAGGAGGCATACAACTATTATAATTCTTATGCAAAAAATGGGTTTTAGAATCCGCAAGGAAACTGTTGATAAGTCAAGAAAGACAAGAGAAATTATTTCTCAAGTTTTTGTTTACAACAAGGCAGGGGGAAAAAGGTTATCAGATAAGAGATAGTATGGGAAACTTGTCAATCGTCATCCAAATACTAGAGTGGATTGTCCCGCAAGAATGAGGATTAAGTTAACTTCCTCCAAGACATGGATTGTTACGAAGTTTGAGGCAGACCACCCAACCCATCTATTATCGAGCCCTGATAAAGTGTTTAATCATTATTCCCACAGGCAAAGCCATCGATCGAAGACTTGCAAGAGAATTATTAAGAATTTGAGTGAAGAAGGAATGACTCCTTCTACTATTGCTCGAGTGTATAATGTTGTGTCTAAGAGTATTGATAAAGAATATATTACTGCACAACAATGTATTGATCACATCAGAACTAGGAGGAAGAACAACATTGGCAATGATGTATATCCATCATAAAGAATTTTCAAGATAGGAAGGAAATCGATCCAGAATTTTACTTTTCCATAGAGCTGGATCAGTCGGGGACTATGAGGAGCGTGTTTTGGGCTGATGGGAGATCAATATCATCTTACTTAACTTTTGGAGATGTAGTGGTGTTCGACGTCACATATAAAACCAATCATTTGAGCCTACCGTTTGCTCCATTCACAGGTGTAAATCATCATCGACAGTCCATTCTCTTTGGTTGTGCGTTACTTGCAGATGAGCAAGAGGATACCTTTATTTGGTTGTTCACCTAATGGCTAAAATGCATGCATGGGGTTGCACCAAAAGCTATTATCACCGATCAAGATGCACAAATAGGAGGAGCTATCAAACAAGTTTTTCCTAATACCTGACACCATTTTTGTTCTTGGCATATTGGCAGACATATTGCTGAGCAACAACTTCCAATGAAATCACAATATGGAGATGAGATTTCTACATATTTTGATAAGTGGTACCGAGCTAGCACTATTCACCAATGTGAGGAACGTTGGAAGATTTTGAAGGAGAAATTTAATATAGATGAGAGTGTAGATAGTTGGCTGACGAGGATGTACAGATTGCGTGCACACTAGGTAGATGCATATTTGAAAGACATATTTTGGGCAGGAATGACAACTAGTCAGAGGAGTGAAAGTATCAATTCATTTTTTGATGGTTATGTAAATACAAAGACTAGGCTTGTGGACTTTGTATGCCAATATGACAAAGCCTTAGCAAATCGCCGTGCATCTGAATCTCGAGAAGACTTTATGACATTGAATATTGTGCCTGCAATGTGCCTTCGACATCCAATTAATGTGCAAGTCAGCAAATTATATACTAGGGGGATCTTCAAAATATTCCAAGATGAGCTTACTAATGGGTTATCACTTTTTCATGAAGAAATGCTAAAGGAAGAGCCAAAAACAATTTATATAGTTAGTGATTTTACTGAAGAAAAAGATAAATGGGAAGAAGTTACATATGACAAATCTAGCGGGTTTATGGTCAAATGCTCTTGTGCACTTTTTGAAACCGATGGGTTCCTTTGTAGACATATATTGCATATCATATGGCTTCTTCAGTTGACAGCTATTCCTGATAATTATATATTGCAAAGGTGGAAAATTGATGCAAGGCACAAAAACATTAGATTTTTTAATGATATGGATGAAGCAATGAAGGTAGCATGGAGCAGTGCGATATTATTAGATTGTGGGCAATTCAAGCCAGAATCAATGCTACCCTTGAGATGGCTTCATGTTTAGCAAATGCCATTTCTATGGTGGAGAGAATGCTACAAGATATCACTATATCAGTTGAGAAGGAAGTAAAGCTTAATGAAATTCATATTGCAAACTCTCAAATTGGAAGCCAACTAAGTTCAAATGCAAATGTAGTATTGAGAGATGGTGAAGAAATTTTAATTCGTGATCCTAGAGGCCCAGTCAAAACAAAGGATCGTCCAAGAGGATCTAGCAGGTACAAGTTAGGAATTGAAGAGTCACAATCGAAAAAGGATATAAAACATCGAAAATGTGGGAATTGTCAACAATTGGGTCACTATAAGACCGGTTGCCCGTTATTGGTAAGTTACTTGAGAATTCATCTTGTAATATTTATTTGTCATTCAATTGATTTCTTTTTTGTGCACAACTTATGAATTTTTCCATGAATAGAAAAAGTAACAGCCTTTTGGGAACATTTTGGATCATTTTAGGAGCATTTTGGTTGTAGTTTCCCCAGGTTGCTGCAGTTTTGTGTGTATGTTTTTTTCATTAACCTTTGTTATGTCCTTCAGTAAGCTATGGAAACGAATCAGTCCTCCCTCTTTTGGTTCATTGGGCACTGAAACTTTGGTTCCATTTGTTGTGCACGCGGGCATTATGAAGAAGGAGCACATCAAAATCCATGGTAGCTGAGAAGTCTCTGTTCGAAGGACTGATTAGTGCTTGAAGACTGCATTTTATCTACTTAGCTTTTTATATAGTTGCTTTCCTATTTCATGCTTGAACTTGTACTTTGTTATTTCTTGCATTTGTGTTTGAAGAACTGATTATGTAGTGTTCGAAGGACTGATTATATAGATGTATTTGTTACTGGTATGCATATCTATATAGTTGTATTTGTTACTGATTATGTAGTGTTTGAAGGACTAATTTTTGTTCATTAACCTTTGTTGCTTTTTATATATTGTTCGAAGGACTGATTATTTCTTGCATTTCTTGCATTTCTTGCATTTGTTTGAATATCCGGGTGATTTTCCTCAGTGCATCAACAACTACAGCTCTTCATTGGTTTGTGAGCCCAATATATTCACAAGCAAAAATGACTGGCTTTGGTAATGTCATGGTAGTTTACATTTCAATAGTTCAGCCATGTTCATTATGAGTACTATGTGATCTGTACATAGTTGAAAGCAATAGCAAACCCAAGAAGGAAGTGTCTTAGATAATGGACCACTAGGCATGAAGGTTCAACTATCATTAGGCATGAAGTGTCTTAGATAATGGACCACTAGGCATGAAGTGTCTTAGATAATGGACCACTAGGCCTAAAGTCACAGATTCACAAAGAATAAGCTGTATGTTAATGGAAAAAACAATACACAATTTGCAGTTGCCATAATAGATATCGGTCACTCTAACAGAACATATAATATCCTCAGACACAAACTTGAGTTCAAACTGACTTCAAACATTGTGAAAATTAAGTTCAAACTAAGTACAAAATGACCCAAGTTATACAAGCTTATCCTCACATAGAAGAATCATCCACAAATCACATCACATGTTTTTTGCAATGGAGGAACCAACAAACACGGCAACAATACATACCAGAAACACTAATATTGTAAACACCGAACCTAATACAAAAGCTTAAATGGAGGAAATAGCAGTTTCCCTAAGTTTTGCCTTGTCCTCATCCAGATTATGCCCCGACGGAAGTATTTGTTGTTGAAATTGAACTGCTGTCTGGACATGCCTTGAGCTGAATGCTGAATCACGAGCGATGGTGTGCTTCTCCCATTCAAGCAAAGCCTCTTCGTACGTTTCAAACCCTTTGTAGGAGGTATTTGGGAATTTATCAACTTGAGATTTGCATTCCTCCCAATTATCGAAAATGCCACATCATCGACCTCTCTTCACAATATAGAAACTCTTTCTTGCCATGGATAACATGAAAAATTGTGTTTTACAAAGTATATTCAAGTCTAAAGTATATTAAAAAATGGCACATGATAGGATGTTCTGCAATAAGTATATTCAAATCTAAAGTATATTGTAAAGAAAAGCTAATACTATAAGGGTGCGACCATATGACAAATAAGGAATACTAACTTGAGGCAGAAATTCAAGTAAAAGCCACACTATATGCAGTTCTATCTACTGAATGTCTATGCCAAAGTGATTTCAAGTTTTATGCTCTTTATAGGAAACAAACAATATATGCATTGGCTTATGATTTTTTAAATGTTTTTTTTTGTAAATGGTTTTTTTTTTCTGGAGCATACGACCCCATCGATGTTCACAAGTTGGTCTCATACCAGCATTACAAGCAAGAAGAAGGATGGAGCATCGCTTTCAGGTGTAGTAGGCTTATGATATTTGAAGCACAAACTAAAATACAAAAACAATTATACTGGCTCAAAAACAAACTTGGGACATATATCAGTGGTAAAGCATGCTCTTCTTAGTATGACTTGGGACAATATAACTAAGTACAAAAACAAACTTAATTGTGTTGTCCTGCTCTTGCTAGCATGCTGCAGATTAATTTTAAGAACTCTTCCTTCACAATTAACCAAAATACGTCACCAGGATGGATAATGGTACTAGCTTGGCTAATATATCAATTTCAGCAGAACCAATTAAAGAAAAAAACCCATTAAACCAATTTCAGCACAATCGAATCAAAGGGCTTGAGGGAGAGATCGAGAGAGAGGGTTCGAGTTATTACTTGCGTTGGCCTCGGTGTCGAGAGAGGAAGAAGTAATGGGTCTTCGACGGGCTAAATTATGACGTTGGCGTCGACAGAGGGAGGAGGGAGGGTTTTCGATGGAGAAATCACGGAGGGAGGAGGGAGCGTCGTCGACGGGCAAAATCACGGTGAGAGGAGGGAGGTTGTTCGACGAGGTTGCGTTGGCCTCGGTGTCGAGAGAGGAAGAAGTAATGGGTCTTCGACGGGCTAAATTATGACGTTGGCGTCGACAGAGGGAGGAGGGAGGGTTTTCGATGGAGAAATCACGGAGGGAGGAGGGAGCGTCGTCGACGGGCAAAATCACGGTGAGAGGAGGGAGGTTGTTCGACGAGG